GGCGTCGGGCGGGGCCGGCGGCGTGCCCCAGGCAAGGCTGGCGGGTGCGCACCAAGGAAGGCTGGCAGGGGAGCGTCATATCGGGCCGACAGGAGAGTCCTAGGAAAGGCTGGAAAGGGAGCGCCAGGCAAGGCTGGAAAGGGAGCGCCAGGCAAGGCTGGCAAGGGAGTCCCCAGCAAGGCTGGCAAGGGAGCGCCAGGTAAGGTTGGCGAACCAAAGCTGTCTAGGCCATGCTAATGGACCATATATCATCAAGTCCCCCCAGTCCGATGTTATCGGTACGCGGCCAATGACATTGGACTGGACTCAGTCATATAAACCATGTGTCATCAAGTCCCCCTAGTCCGATGTGATTGGATTGATGACAATCGGATCGGACTAGACAAAACACCAATATATCAAAGAATGAAAAGAAACAACTGAACCTTTCCAAAAGAAACGAGAGTCATGATGATACGCAATGAGCCAAGCATGGGTTGGTTAATGATTTTTCCTTGTCAAGAGTATGATCCGGTCAGTGGGATGCAACGTAGCTGTTGTTGCGATGTTATGTAGAGAAAGGTTGCTGCTAATGTTACGCGGAGCAGGGCTGTTATGCGAAAATTATGTCGATAAGGCAGTCGGGACAAGGTAGCTATGAAGCGTAAGCTCACCATTCAATCCCTAAGACTGTTTTCCGACGCAATCGCTATTGTGGTCACACGCAGATAGAATGTCACCGATAACCATCTGCATAATCTGCTTTACATACATCGATGACCGTCCTAAAGGTGTTTCCTGCTTGGGCTATACCTAGCTGGATTCCCCCCAGTCTGATGTGGGTAGCGTAGGTAGCCGGATCAGACTATAACGAATAAGGCAAGGTCGCTATGTCAATGCACGATGAAGTAGCAAAACTCTTTGTACGAGATGGATGTTGTCAAACCGATAAGTCGTAAGGTTGTTGACCGTATAATAGGTGGTAGAGGTTCCGAGAGCTGGGCGATTAGGTTGCTAGCGAGGGTCACGGAGTGAGACTATTGCCGATAGCCAGACAATAGAATTGTTGAGGGATAGGCAGTGAGGCTATTTGTAGGAAATATGCAACGAGATTGTTGCCGAGAGCCAGGCAACATAGATGTTGAGGGATACGTGGCGAGGCTACAAGTTAGGATTGCAAAACAAGACCATTGCCGAGAGCCAGGAAATAGAGATGCTGAGGGATACGTCACGAGGCTACATGCAGGGGTTACACGACAAGACCATTTTCGAGGGCACAGTAGTTGAGATGTTGAGGTATAAGCAGCGAGGCCATAGGTAGGGAATGCGCAACAAGGCCATCGTTGGGGTCCAGGCAACATAGATGCTGAAGGGTTGTAGGTAGTAGGGATGCTGTCGTGATAAGCATCTTGCTGGAGAGTAACCTTGCTATAGCAGGCTGTAATGTGGAGAACACTTCATCAATCGTTCGAGCACAAGATGAAAGGTCCAGTATGCTCAATAGTCATATTAAAGTGATATTGCTAAATAACATATGATACTAATGGGTCACACTAACAACAACTTGATACAATTGATTATTTATTAGAAATTGATTTTAATAAATATTCAATAAAACTCTTATAATTAAATTGGAAATTATTTATTTCATGGAAATAATAAATTTCATTAGCAAGTAACTTAATATATAACATATGGTATGATTTATAAGTCATGTACAAACTTTTGGACTAGTTGAATCATTTTGTCATTTTCCTAAAAGACAAGGTTTATATTTTATAAAAGAGTTTATAAAAGTTTGACTTTCTTTATTCTTCTTTATGCAATTTTCAAGATATGCATAAAAAGAAGAAGTGTATGACTTGTCTAATCATGCTTTAAAGGCATGGGAGACATGCTTATGATAAGGAGACAATTTTGTCTAAAGTTGAAGGAACCAATGGTTAATAACTTCACTTTTAGGCACTATAAATATGAGGCTTCCACTCTTGAAGTTTTTTCCTCATTCTTTCTTCCAATGGTCAAGAGCTCCATGGGAGACTCTCCATCTCTTCTTTGCTTTGAGTTATTGAAGATTACTTGCATATCTTTTGCTCTCTTGAAGTTCATATTGGTTATGAACTTCAAGCTTAAGAGTTTAAGAGTTTTGGACTAGCATCTATATCAAGTTGAGTCATTGTTGGTGTCTCAAAGGTTCCACATTCTTCATCAACATCCAAGCCTCCCAAGAGGACCCAAAGAACTACAAAGGTAGTTCTTTCTTCACCTCTTCTTTGGTTGGTGTTTTAATCTTTCTATAATTTGCAAGAATATCCTTGGTGGGTATAAAATGTTTATGTTATTTCAAAATTAAAGTCTTCCGTTGCCATATTTTTCTAGTTTATGAAGCTATTTTTGAACTAAAACCCAACACAAGAGAACCATAATGATTGTGAGAGAGGAAACACCAAGAGAGCTGTGTTAGGCGTGGAATAGGCTTGTGATGCGCGACTTATGGTGCGCGACAATGCGGGACTTATGTTGCGCGGCTTAGAATAATATCTTGGGCTTAGCAGTTAGCGATCATGGAGATGTCATGCGGGAGAGCATTGCGTGGAACAGATCGGGCTTAGCTACCAACGATCGTAGATACATCACGCGGGAGAGCATCACGTCGGATCATGTAGGTAAAGGTTGCGAGCCTTTAAACCTCGTTGACGGAGCATGCCGCTGATGGGGTCATGCTGAGAAGCCAGGCGACTAAAGGCAATGGTGTTAAACCTCGCATGCTGAGCTTGGCGCTATAATGGAGTAGGGATGAGAAGACAGGCGAATCAAGGCAAGGGTAGTGAACCTCGCATGCGGAGCTTGCCGCTATAATGGATTCGGGCTGAGAAGCCAGGCGACTAAAGGCAAGGGTGTTGAACATCGCATGCGGAGCTTGCCATTATAATGGAGTCGGGCTGAGATGTCAGGCGACTCAAGGAAAGGGTGTTGAACCTCGCATGCGGAGCTTGCCGCTATAATGGAGTCGGGCTGAGAATTCAGGCGACTCAAGGCAAGGGTACTGAACCTCGCATGCGGAGCTTGCCGCTATAATGGAGTCGGGCTGAGATGTCAGGCGACTTAAGGCAAGGGTACTGAACCTCGCATGTGGAGCTTGCCGCTATAATGGAGTCAGGCTGAGAAGTCAGACGACTCAAGGCAAGGATGTTGAACCTTGCACAATTGGGCGCAACATCATGCAATCTTTTGTGTCTGGACTGGGTGATCAGTTCGGGTTGAAGTGTAATGGCACTTGATGCTTTGCTGCATCATTAGTTGTAGTGGCTATTGGTGTCTCGCTGTCTTGGCTGTCTGCCGAGGGCTATGCGACGATGCTACTAAGATCTGGATAGTGTAGATGTTGTCAAGTGGTGCATACTAAGACTGCTGTCGAGAGCTGGTCAACGGGGCCGCTGAGACTGAGCATCGAGCTGCTAGCGATAGATGAGCAGCACGAACACTGAGAGTTGGGCAACGAGACTACCGAGGGTTGAACCACGAGGCTGTTCTTTCGATCCAGAATATTAATGTCACCTTGGGAATGCACTATCATGCATAGCATCAACTATTTATGTATTTTAACTCTGCGCCTTCTGAATAAAAATCACTTCTGCATAGTGTCGTACTAACCCTTCTCCCCTCCCCCTTCTATTTTTTCCTTAGAGGAGGTGGAGAAAGGGAAATATGGATGTATAGCTGCTGAAAGCTGAGATACATAGCCGCCGGAAAGAGCTAGGCGATGCAAGCGCTGACAAGAGCTGGGCAGAGCGGCTACCAAGAGTTGGGCAACGCGACTGCGGGATGTCGGCCAACACGACTGATGAGAGCTGAGTAGCGAGACTGCATGAAGCTGGTCAACGTGGCTCCTGATAGCCAAGTATCGCAGTTGCCGAGGGTTATTTCGAAATGCTTTACTAATAGTAGTAGTAGCAATGTACTACTTACTCTTCTCCCTCCCTCCTTTTTTTTTTGAAACGCTGAGTGGTCTGGATCGTAATACGTATTTTAAAACGTATTTTGTTGAGCGGGGTTTGCGGTGCATGAGTGTTAAACAACTTATTTTGTTTTGCTAGGGTGGCCCATTTTAAGATTGTAGAGGTTGCCCATGACATATCCAATACAACTTAAGCCCAAAATAATATATATTAGCCCACTTATCATAGGAGGGGCCCAAAAGAAATTGTTGGAGCCCAAGGTTGTTCGCCCTCACTTGTATAATTATAAGCCATGGTCTAATTCTTTTTTTTTTATTTTGGGTTGACTCTAAACACGTCTTCTATTGCTCTTTTGCTTTTATGTAGACAGTTAAGTACCTAACACATGGCCCAACATGCTTCTATTTTCTTTGTTAGTGAGTCGAATGCATACCAAAATAGATATCTCTGTTCTCTTTTGTTTTTTTTTTTTGGTTTTTTTTGTTTTTTTGCAACAACCCAACATTATGGAGGAATAATCTTGAAGGAAGCCCAAAATAAATATAAGAATCCAAATTATCAACCCATTTATTCATTAATTGTCCCAGCTGAAAAACAATACTCCATGCCCGAGTTGTGAGCCCAATCAGAGATAATCAGCCTAATATAAAATTGCTGGAGCCTTCATGCGAGATGTGGGCTAGTGCCCTAATTTCTTTTGTCATTTATGTCAAACGATGGGGCCGTTATGCGCTCACTGAACACGAAGATGAAAGGTCGCATCGGACCTTAGGCCGATGGATTGACGGCGATAATGGTGGAGCAACAGTCTGAAATCGGTTGTGCAAGGAAATCAGAGCTTTACTTGAGCAGTAGGGTCCACCGGCGACGCTAGCTAGTTGCGTCAAGTGGCACCGATCGGTGACTAGAGGTGATTCGGTGGTGTCTTAGCTCCTGCGAGCGGCTATTGATTGAACACGGGGGCGTGGCGGTTACAGACCTACGAAGGCTTTGGTGGTTCCCTCTATGAGAATCGCCGACTGGGGAAGGAGGTCGGAATATTAACCGTCATTGTCGGCGGCGCTAATTTGCTACGTCGTTTGGTAGTGAGTCTTTACTATAGGTTTGCAGGTACTGAAGTGTGTTGATCGGAGAAAAGCAGTCGACTGGCGGTAGTTTGGTCCCAGCTATTGGCAGTGGATCGATAAACTGAGGTCGGTAATGAGACGAGGTCAATGTTGGAGCTATTTCGCCTAGTTGTTGTTTGATATCTCGGAGGTTGATGTTTGCTATCGTCAAAGCTGTTGTGGTCAACGGGTAATCTGGGAATTGCTCGCTGGAAGTCATTGTTTGTAATAGGAAAATTAGAGTAGCGTTTTGCCGGTGATGCTGGCTTGTTAGGTCTACACTTGGAGGTGGCCAGTGGTTATAAGAGGTTCAATGTTCGTGGAGAAGGATCACCACCGTCGCTGGACTGTTTGAAGATGTTGTTGTTGCCGGCTGGAAGTGACTGGCGATCCGGTTGGCAGTGGCCACTGGCAGAGGTCGCTTCATCCAAGGAGTCGAACAACAAGCTGAGAGCGACTGAAGGTGATATGGTTTTCACCGCCAGTGAGGTGATTCTGAAGGCTGCTAAGGGCCTTATTTTGTCTTTTCCGTAGGTTTTTAAGCCATATGTACTGTGTAGATGGTCGGATAGCTCCTCCCCCTCCGGATATATGAATATATGGATATGTTTGGATAGGGTTCTGCTATTCAGAAATAGACGAGCTATTTCAACAAAAGAAGATTGAGATCAACTCAAATCTTAAACACTCAATTTTAGCTTGTTTATTTCATATGGACAAATGCCCTATTTATAGGCTGTAATCGTTTGATTGCAATATGACAAACATATTTACAATATAGCCCCCTAGACTATTGAGGGACTAACACTTTATGTTACATCACAATAATACAATAGACATACAATAATTATAAAAGACAAAACCTAAATAATTACAACTCCTTTCTATATTGAAAGGCCACATGTCTTCAATAATGTGTCTAATGGTCCCCTTTTTCTCGAGCTTTCTAAAAACTCGTATGACTCATACTTTTAGATATTTTAGCTGGATGCACTATGTGGATGTGATGTTTGACTTGTCTTTTCCTGTCATGAATTATTTTTTGAATTGTGGTGTACACAGGACACACCATCTCTCCCCCTATTGCTTGTCAGCTTGAGAGTGACAACAATTCGTTACATATTTTGGATGATTTGTCGTAAATATGAGCTGTAAAGATTTTCTCTGTGCATATACACTTGGTTTTTATTTTTATTTATTATTTATTATTATTTTTTTGAAAACCATTAACTAAAATGGTAACACTATTGGGCAAAAATAACTTTCACTAGTGTTTTGAAATGTACAAGAATTACAACACAAGTTAAAGAAATTTGTACATTTAGATGCATTATTGAAATAAACGTTTGATAATATGTGAACTGAAAAATGGTAAAAATTCATTAAAGCTTCCTTTCATCTCAAATTTGAATATAACCATCAAAATATGAACAAAAATAGATTTGAACGATTTCTTTCAAACATGTTTAAAATGAACAAAAATGTCAGCAGATCCAAGGATCTGAGCTGAGAATATATATATATATATATATATATATATATATATATATATATATATATATATATAAACACTCAAATGAAGAGTAAGTTTCCCAAAAATTTGAGAAGGTAAAAAATTTATAGAAACTTATTTTTTCTCCAAGCTTCTAAACAACTTGAGTAAACTTATATACAAAAAGTCATAAACATGAGATTTTCTGGATAATGTATGGACTGAAAGTGGGGTAAGACCCATCAAAACTTCTCCTTCATTCTTTTTTTTTTTGAAGGTTTTGTAAAACGTACAAGCCATATAGTTGTGTGTAGAAATAGTTGTTGCAGTGGGTAAAAATGTATACGAAAATGCACAACTAGGGGAGAGTTTTTTGATAATGTATGAACAAAAGATAGGGTAAAACTCATAGGGAACTTCTTTTCTCCTCTAACTTACTTAAAAAAACCCCAAAATATAAACAAAAACGGATCTAACAAGGTTTTCTTCTGATAAAATTTTATTTTCTCTTCAGCTTGTTCAACAAGACATCAGAACACGAACAAGAAACAGATCTGAAAATTTTTCGTTTTCCTTCTCTAAGTTTTTTAAGAAAACACTAAATATATCACTTCAAAGAAGTCTTGCAAAGAAAATCATAAACTGAAGGTGATTTCTTTATAACATAAACTGAAAATAAAGTAAATATTGACCAAAATGTTCTTCAACTCTCAAGTTGCTTGCATAAAACACCAAAATATGAACAAAGATGGAGAAAAGCTCGTAAAATCCTCTTTTCTCCCTGAAAATATAAGTAAAAACGGGTCTGAGCTGGTGTTTTTAAACTTGAGAGGTGATTAAGTGAACAAAAACGTTAAGATCAAAAGATCTGAGCTAAAAATGAAGTAGATCTACAGACCTGAACAAAAAGTGCATCAGATTGAAAGATCTGAAACGTAGCTAATCAGATCTGGACATCTATTGGCAAGAGCCAAGCGGATCTGAACAAATGATGGTAGATATGAAAAGATCTGAGCAAACCTAAGCTGAAACGCAACAGATCTGAACAGATCTAGGCAAGAACGAGCCTGAAACCAAGCTAGATGGTGGCTGCTCGTTCAAGTATGGGATGGAGCCAAATGATGCGACATCATCTCCGACCACCTGCTCTGAGAGTGTGCTTCTACGCCGGAGAGGATCTGCGAGATCACAACAGACAAGGCCGTTAGAGCCGCCCCAGAGACTGTGCCGCGGGAGCGGACTCCGACGACTAAGTTAGATCAGCTTGATGGATGCGATGGTTCTCCATAGCTGGAGCGAACCATATTGGTGCTAGGGGTAGTGTATGGTAGCTGGCGGCGGAGGGTAGCGGCTGCGCCACCCGGCCGGAGTCTAGGGTGGCGGTTGAGCCAAGGGGAAGATCCCTCTCCAGGGAGGAGATATTGTTCACTTTATAGGGGACAATTAGTTCAAGGGTAATTAGGGCAGACCTTGCGCGAGCCCAATTCAGGCCCAGCTAGCGAGGAGCTGGGCAAGGCCGCCCGGAGGCGCTGGACGGGGCTGGCGGGCGGGCGCGCACCAAGGAAGGTTGGCAAGGGAGTGTTGGATTAGATGTCTAAGCCCATAACTATTATTGGTATGTACTTGACCCGAGAGTAGCATGGTCCATTTGTGTTGCATATCATCAAGACAATTTGTTAGGATAGACTCTTGAGAGAAGGATTTATATATGATTTATTAATATATTATAAGTTATAATATATTAATATGAAATCATATGTTTTAATTAGTATTCATCAAGAATTAATTTGAAATTAATTTAGTGATCAAAAGAGACTAATTAAATCTGTGGGGACTAATTATGGTAATTAGTTATATTTATATGTGTTGGGCTTATGATCCATGTTGGAACAAGTTTATGTATGGATACATAAAGAGTTGGGCCACATGAACCATGGATCATAACACCCATGGGTATGAGTTCGGGTTAACCCATGACGTTTGGAATTCCACATATAAATATGTTACTTCATAGCCAAAATCACCACTAATGTATTCTTGGAGAATATGGACGGTTTTGGTGTGTATGAATTCTCTCTCAAGTTTCATCCTTTGTCCATGATGTGTTGTGACTTAATTTGAGGCTTCCACACTATTGGGGCTAAGCTCTTAAGGCCAAATACATCAAGACTTCAAGCTACATGAAAGGTATGTTACCCTAACTAGTATCTTATATGGTTTATGCCAAATGCATGCTAGTTATAGGTTTAATGCCTTGGAAACCATTTGCATGTATAATTAGTGAAAACATGGATCTAAGGTTTTTAGGGTTGTATGTACACCATAGGATGTTGTAGTATACTAAAACACATCAGTGGTATCAGAGCCAAGGCTTGTTTTCAATTATACTTGATGCAAATTGCTGAAAAAATCGATTTTCTGGCTGTCTGGACAGTGGACTCGCTGAGTCCACTGATAGACTCGTCGAGTAGCATGCATTTTGCCTTGGACTCGCCGATTCCATTGATGGACTCGCCGAGTCCAAGTACAAATCTGACTAACTCGCCAAGTTAGTTCATGTACTCGACGATTTGGTGCTCCAGAGTGCAGTTTTTCGACTTTTAAGCCTGGAATTGGAGTAGGAACATTACCTTAAGTTGTTTTTGAACTTATAAACCTGTTTTTTGATGTGGTAATATTCATGCTAATCCAATTCAAAAGATAATTGTCATAATTTCAAGATTTGTATTAGTTTATATGTTTATGCTAATTTCTTGAAGATTGATGATATGAATTATCTTGTTCTTATGAGTTAGTTTAGATTAATAGAAAAATTATGTGATAATTTGTTTTCGATCCAAATTGATCTAAAAGTTGTTCATAATATGTGTTTTTGTAACTTGTCCTCAAGTTATATGAAAAGTCTCATTTATGATTTTTAAAACTCATAAGATTTCCATAAGTTATGAAAATGAAGAGTCTCATTTTTTAAATGTTTTAAAGTCTTCCATAACTTGTCCTCAAGTTATGGAACTTGAAGAGTTTTTTCATTAAAACTACTTTAAACTCATATGTTATGGAAACCAAAAGTTTTTTGAATTGTTCAAAACTTTCCCTCAAGTTTTGGAATTTGTAAAGTTTCCCCCCATGAATACTTTAATTCCAAGTTAAACCCTTAGAATTTTAAAAGTTAAAATTCAACCCTTATACTATTATAATATTAATAGTTAATATATATATATATATATATATATATATATATATATATATATATATATATATAAGAACAAAGTCAGTGTTACCGTTAGTAGGCCTCATTCACGAAGCCGGTCTATAAGGGGGGTATAAGGTTACTACCTATAAAATGGCAGTTTAATGGGTGTCCACTCTCACCCACCGCTTCCTTGACTGGTGGATGGTCGTTAGCCGAACGGGTTTGACAAGACATTAATTCTCCTTTCATTAAAAGTATAATGATAAATATAAAGTAACTAAACCTTATTAAATTCTCAATCTTAGTTACTTTAGGAAAATGTGAATTTGGTGCTAACCCATGAAATTATACTTTATACCTTACCAAGTCGTTGGTGGAGCGTGTGTGGGTAACTGACACACTAACATGGACTAGTAAGAGTGTCAAAGGGTAAATTAATGTTTATCATAGATTGGTGGAGCGCGTGTGGGTAACCGGCACATCGATTAGGTGATAAAAATTAAGGGTACCAAGTTAATTTGCATGGTTATTCACACCTTGTTTGTGATCCTTGGCATCCCAGTCACAAACTTGAGAGGGCACAATCGAGATTTAAACATGTCATTGAAAAGTTCAATGAATCTCAAAGGATCTACGAGTTTCAATTCACTTAAGACCTAAAATTATTTTTCGTTTTTCGTGGTGGAAATTGGTAATCGTCATTTACCTACCTTCAAATATTTTGTAGCTTGGATTACGACATCCCTCTTCCAAGTTATAAAATATTGTGTTGGGTCCTAGCCTTAATATTTCATATTGGGTGTTATATTAAGGACTTAGATCAACTAACTTGAATTTCTACCACATAGGTGTCTAGTTCAGACAACTATGATCTTCCCAAATCTCTTGGAACAAGCTTTCTCCATCTCCTCCAATAATTCTCCCTAACCCATAAGTTTAAAGACTTGAATAGTTCAAGGTCGCTCAAGCCCTATTGGCAAGTGTATGTGCACTCACATCTTGGAGATGAAGTCACATATTGACAGGCTGGGAGAGTTGGGTGTCAGAGTCCCAGGCAAGGCTGGCAAGGGAGCGCCAGGAAAGGCTGGCTAGGGAGTCCCCATCAAGGCTGGCAAAGGAGTGCCAGGCAAGGCTGGCACGCCAGAGCTGTCTAGGCCATGCTAATGGACCATTTATTATCAGACCCATTTTTTCCGCAACTAATCGCAACCTTAGGTTGCGTTTAGCTACGGAAAAATAGTTTTCATTTTCTGTTTTTCGTTTTCCCTTTTCAATTTTCGTTTTTCATTTTCAGTTTTCATTGGAAAATTTAGAAAACACGTTTAGTTAAAACTTATTCGTTTTTTATTTTCAATTTTAGAAAATGAGAAAACGTGTTTAGATGTGTATTTTTCTATCAGTTTTCATTTTTAGAAAAAAAAGGTAGCGGTGGTAGGGTGGGGATGGGGACGGTGGCGGTAGTGGGACAACAGCGGGGAGGGGGGGGGGGGCAGTGTTGGTGTCGATGATGGCGACTGTGGTGGTGGTGGTGGCGGTGGCAGCGAGGGGTGGCGGAGGTGGTGATGATGACAGGCGGTGGTGGTGGCGGCGGCAATTGTGGTGGTGGTGATTGCAGCGGTGGTGCTGGTGATGGGGTAGTGGTGGTGGTGATGGTAGGTTGGTGATTGTGGTAGTGGTGTTGTGTAGGTGTGTGTTTGTGTTTGTGGGGGTGGGGTGGGGTGGATGTGGGTGTGAGTTTGTGGGGGTGGGTGTGTGTTTGTAGGGGTGGGGGTGTGTGTGTGTGTTTGTGGGGGTTGGTGTGTGTGTGTGTGTGTGTTTGTAGAGGTGTGGGTGTGGGTGGGTGTTTGTTTGTAGGGGTGTGTGTATGTGTGTTTGTGGGGGTTGGTGGGTGTGTATGTGTGTGTGTGTTTGTGTGTGTGTGTGGGGGGGGGGGGGGGGGGTTGGGGGTTGGTCTGTCATGTGTGTGTGTATATTTGTGGGGGTGGGGTGGGGTGGGCTTTGGAGAGAGTGTGAATAGGTAGGGGTATGGTGGGTTGGAGGTGTTAAGGCGAGAGTAGGTAGAGGTGGATGGGGTGAGAGTGGGTGTGTGTTTATATTTTAGAAAATTTTTGGAATTATAAATATGGAAAACCATGATCATCGGTTTTCCAAAAATTTCCAAATTCTTTGTAATTTTAGAAAACGGAAAATTTTCATTTTCCGTGAAAATTTTAGAAAAATAAAAACGGTATATTTTTCCGCAATTAAACGCACCCTTAATATTCTTACCTTGTTACGTTTGAGCATTACACTTTTATTCATTGCTTTCATCACAAAGAACTCTCCAGTTTCACATAATTCAACCAAATGAACACTTCCTGTATCAGAGGATCATAGAGGCTTTATGGGCTTAATAAATAAATAAATAAATAAATAAATAAAAAGTTTATGTTTATATAAGCATAAATCTAATCAAAAGAGAGAAGTAGCATGAATTTTCTTAAACGTCCATAACAGATGGATGCTTCAACATCTAATTTCAGAAACTGAAGTTAATATGCAGCGGCAACACAACATTGTATAAGTATGTACAAAATTCAATTCCATTCAGCCGGCTCATGGAATGGAATCTCACTTTCCAATTCCTTCTCCGTGCAAACGATAGCAAATCATTGATTGGGAAAACAAGAAATGAAGTCACTCACTTCTGATGTCTCTCTTTCGGTGGGAACTAAACAACATTACACATAATCCAAACCCTGTTTATAGATAGAATCACAGAACAATAGAAACACGCAATTTATTTGAGCAATAGCAAAGAAATAAGAGGGAAAACCTTGAAATCGATTTTGGTGCACCCTACCATCTCCATATAGGTCATCCCTCACCATCACCACCACCCTATACACAGAACCTGATTACCGAAATACCCTACATCATAAAAACATGTAAATGTTGAAAACTCCCTTATTCACGGTGATTCGTCTACCATATAGGCTAGTTATTGAGTTGAAATCAAATGAAAAAAGATAATAAACATAAGAATAGCTTCTATTAAGCATTTGACCCAACATCTTTTCCTCATTCCATACAAAAACATTTGTAGGTTTCTTAAGGCTTTCAAAATTAAGTAAAAACTAGTACAGAGTTCATAAATCCCTTATTCACAAGGATGTATCTACCGTTAAGCTATTAATCGGGTTCAATCAAATAAACTGAATGCCCGAATTCATAAATTAGAACAAAAAGGTAGGAGATTTAACAAAAACAGTGAAACACACAGTAAGAATTGAGTTGAGCAGGTTTGACCTTGGCGACTGAAGAAAATAGCGACCCAGTGATAGAGGTTATCGCTTTTGGGACTAGCGGAACAATCGACAGGTGGGTCGGTGTTTGAGCTCTGCTATCTCCTTCTGAATCCTCCTCCCGGACGATGTTAAAATTGTACGTGACGACCATGATCGTCCACCACTGAAGCTCCCACTTCCGTACCTGAAGTGGACGAAGCAGATGAACAAAAAGGAATAACACGAATCTTTGATTAATTAGGGCTCAATATATTTTTCCAAGGTTGGAATTTTCCTAGTGTAGATACACAAAGTTGAGGCCGATTCTATTGAAAGTACAACACCTTTATGCATCTAGTTTCTATGGATCGAAGTCTCCACGTTTTATGCTTTATTTACTTTATTTAGTATTTTGTTTATCTAGTCTTTTTGCAGTTTAGAAGTAGTGGTGGGTTATCCCATGTTCTGTGCTCCACGTTCCTTGTAATGTTTATAAGGCGTGTGATGCTTTTGTTTCTAGCAGTTAATAAAAGTAAGAAACACCCTTAGTGTGTGTTTTTCTATATGTGTCGTCTGTTTCCTGTGTGTCTTTGTTTTTCATAGTACATTCAAAAGAACTCTGTGTGAGTGTTGTTTAAGATCTTCAGCAGGTTAACAAAGTGGTATCAGAGCACCGGGTCATGGCTGAGATGCAGGTGGTTGGTGGTGTGAAGAAACTTAATCAAAACAACTACAATACTTGGTCTACCTGCATAATGTCGTATATGCAAGGCCAGGATCTTTGGGAAGTTGTAAAAGGAACAGAAATAAACCAACCAGAGGCTGAAGATAACAATGGTGTACTACGTAAATGGAAGATCAAGGCTGGAAAAGCAATGTTTGTGTTGAAGACGACTGTGGAAGAAGAAATGTTAGAACATATAAGAGATGCTGCAAATTCAAACGAAGCGTGGAAAACCTTGCTTAAGCTGTTCTCCAAGAAGAATGATACAAAGCTCCAAATGCTCGAGAATGATCTCTTGTCAATGTCTCAAAAGGAGTTGTCGATTCCTCAATACTTCCATAAAGTGAAGGCTACGTGCAGAGAGATTGGAGAATTAGATCCTTTGGCTCACATTGGTGAAACAAGGATGAAAAGGATCATTATACATGGTTTGAAACCAGAATTCCGGAGTTTTGTAGCAGCGATTCAAGGGTGGCCAATCCAACCCTCCTTAGTGGAGTTTGAAAATTTGTTGGCAGCACAAGAGACTCTAGCAAAGCAGATGGGAGGTGGTACCGATAAAACGCTGAAGAAGCTCTTTATGCTGAGAAAAGTCGAACAAAGTACAAGGGAGGTTCAAGTCAAAACTTTAAGAAAGATGAAGATAAGGCTAAGAGTTCCGACTCTCAAGGAAGGGGCCGTGATTCAAACAAAGGAGATAAGGGTAAGGGTCGCTATCACAACAAACGATCTTCTTTTAAATGCTATAATTGTGGAGGAAAGAATCATATAGCCCGAAATTGTCCTACAAAGCCGATAGAAGAAGGGAATACCGCAACTACTCAAGAAGAAGAGCCTTGGGACGCTGAAGCATTGATGGCTCAAGTTGGTGAAGATGATGTATTCAAAGCTACCACAACTGGTGAGAGCAACAAATTAGATGAATGGATTGTAGATTCGGGATGTTCTAACCACATGACAGGAGAAAAGAAAAGGTTACAAGATCCAGTTAAATATGAAGGAAGTAGGGTCGTGGTCATAGCCGACAATTCTAAACTCCCTATAGCTCATATAGGTGATGTTGTGTTTTCACCGGAAGAAAGTAATCATGAGCTTGCACTACCTGGAGTGTATCACGTTCCAGGAATGAGAAAGAATATGCTCTCAGTTTCCCAGTTAGCCTCTGCGGGACATCATGTGGTGTTTGGACCAGATGATGTCAAGATATATGAGAAGTTTGAAACTCCATATGTACCTGTGTTGAAGGGACATCGATCACAGTCTATATATGTCATGTCAGTAGAAACGACGTATGTAGAAAGAACTAGAAAGAACCAAACTAGTGAACTGTGACATATGCGAATGAGCCATGTAAGCTATGACAAGTTGGATATGATGATGAGAAAGAAACTTGTTACAAGGCTACCTCAGTTAGCAGTGAATAAAGAAACTATTTGTGCTGGGTGTCAATATGGAAAGGCTCACCAACAACCCTTTGAGAAGTCGAACTTTCAAGCTAAACAACCCTTAGAACTTATTCATTCAGATGTATTTGGGCCTGTGAAGCAACCATCAGTCAAAGGTTTAAGGTACATGGTAACTTTTATCGATGACTATTCAAGATTTTTATGGGTGTATTTCTTGAAAGAAAAGACAGAAGTATTCCAAAAGTTTAAGGAATTTAAAGAAGAAGCAGAAAAGGATTTGAAACATGTTGTAATGTGTTTACGTTCGGATAACGGGGGTGAGTACCTCTCAGATGAGTTCACTAACTACCTAAAGGAACACAAGATCAAAAGACAACTGACATGTCCAAACACACCCCAACAAAATGGGGTTTCTGAAAGAAAGAACAGGTACTTGGGTGAAATATGTAGAAGCATGTTGCATGATAAAAATGTACCCTGGAGGTTTTGGGCTGAGGCCATGCAAACAGCTGCGTATGTAATCAATCGAATTCCACAGCAAGGATTAAAGTTTGTGTCTCCTTTCGAATTACTTTGGAAGGTAAAACCCAATGTAAGCTACTTTCGAGTATTTGGGTGTGTATGCTATGTGTTCATACCTAACCACCTTCGTAGCAAGCTAGAAAAGAAAGCAATCCAGTGCATATTTGTAGGTTATGACAAAGAAAGGAAATGATGGAGATGCTGTGAACCAGAGTCTGGAAAATGCTATGTGTCACGCAATGTAGTGTTTGACGAGTTATCATCATGGTGGTCTTCGAACCAAGAAAAAATTCCAGACTCTAACAAGCTCAAGGAAGAAGTTGAGTCATCAAGTGTTGAACTTACCTTTGGTAATGGTCAGATTACAGTTGAAGGAGAAGAAACAGTTGTACATAGACAACAACCTTGGCAAACTGGAATGTTTCATTCCACTATTGGAAATGAAACATTAGATGAACCGGCTAATCCCAGAAGGTCATCTCGTGTGAGGAGGCCTAACCCCAAATATGCTAATGCTGCAATTGTGGTAGATGATGTAACTGAACCGGCAAACTATGAGCAAGCTTGTGTTAAAAGAGAATGGGTTTCAGCCATGAGAGAAGAATTTGAAGCTCTAAACAGAAACCAGACTTGGGAGTTGATTCCAAAGCCAAGTAATGCAAATCCAATTTCATGCAAGTGGGTATACAAAGTGAAACGAAAGGCAGATGGATCAATAGAACGATACAAGGCGAGACTGGTTGCACGGGGTTTTTCTCAAGAATATGGCCTTGATTATGAAGAAACTTTCAGTCCTGTTGCAAAATTAACAACAATGAAGGTCATCTTAGCCCTTGCATCAGTCAAGAAATGGAAGCTGTGGCAAATGGATGTCAGTAATGCATTTCTATATGGGGATTTAGATCGTGTTATATACATGGAACAACCGTTAGGATTTATGAGCAATGAATATCCTAACCATGTATGTAAGCTCAAGAAAGCTCTATATGGGCTGAAACAGTCACCAAGAGCATGGTTTGGAAAGATAGCATAATTTCTTGAACATAATGGGTATATAATCACTTTTGTTGATGCTAGTTTATTTGTGAAGAAAAAGGAAGACAAGGTGGCTATCGTGTTGGTGTATGTTGATGACCTCATCATAACAGGTGATCATGATGAGATGATACTTCAATTAAAAGAAAACCTTTGTGTTCGTTTTCATATGAAGGATCTTGGAAAGCTCAAACATTTTCTGGGTTTGGAATTGAGCTATGAGAGTAGAGGTATAATACTACACCAAAGGAAATACTCTTTTGATCTTTTAAAGAAGTTCGGAATGGAGGAGTGCAAGCCATCAATGATTCCAATCGATACAAATATAAAATTGAGGTTAGCTGTTGGAAGAGACCTTGAAGATCCAACGATGTATCGAAAGATTGTAGGTAGTTTAATCTACCTTACATTGACCAGACCAGATATATCCTTTACTATGGGTGTGCTAAGCCGTTTCATGCAGAATCCTAAAAAGCCTCACCTTGAAGCAGTTCGTCAAGTACTAAAATACATCAAGTCTACACTTAACTATGGAATTATGTTTAAAGCAGATAAGGATTTCATGTTACGTGGATACTGTGATGCAGATTATGCTGGGGATTCTGATACTCGAAGGTCTACCACCGGATACATCTTTATGTTGGGACAAAGTCCCATATCATGGATTAGTAAGAGACAACCAACAGTTTCTCTTTCAACCACAGAAGCTGAATATAGAGCTGCAACCATGGCAGCCCAAGAGTGTGTATGGCTCAAACAGCTTTTAGAGAATCTTAATCAAGAAGTCAACTACAGTATACCGCTGTACTGTGACAACCTCTCTTCAATTCACCTCACTCAAAACCCAACCTTTCATGCTAGAACTAAGCACATTGAAGTTCAGCATCATTTTATAAGAGAAAAGTTACTTCAAGGAGAAATTGATCTGAGATATATTGAAACTTCAAATCAGCTTGCAGATTGTCTTACAAAGAGCTTACCTGGTTTGAAGCTAGCTGAATTGTGTAACAAGATTGGAATGAAGGAAGTCGGTGTTGAGGGGGAGTATTGAAAGTACAACACCTTTATGCATCTGGTTTCTATGCATTGAAGTCTCCACGTTTTATGCTTTATTTACTTTATTTAGTATTTTGTTTATCTAGTCTTTTTGCAGTTTAGAAGTAGTGGTGGGTTATCCCATGTTCTGTGCTCCACGTTCCTTGTAATGTTTATAAGGCGTGTGATGCTTTTGTTTCCAGCAGTTAATAAAAGTAAGAAACACCCTTAGTGTGTGTTTTTCTATATGTGTCGTCTGTTTCCTGTGTGTCTTTGTTTTTCATAGTACATTCAAAAGAACTCTGTGTGAGTGTTGTTTAAGATCTCCAGCAGGTTAACAGATTCCACACCGATGAACAAAGAAGATAGAAGCGAAGTCATTGGATTGATAAAATGATTGTTCTTAAGAAGGAAACAATAATGAAGAGGTGGGATATAAGGCCGTAGGGAGTGGTCGTTGTTTCAAAAACCGGTTTTGCCGCATGGACATGGAACACCGCCCCGGCTACTGGCGGTTTAGGCTGCAGCTAAAAACTGCCGCGAATTCTGATTGGTTGGTGCTCTTTGACTGTCCTTGCGTTTGAAATTATTCTTTTTTTTTTAATTTACCTTACATATACTTATATTTTTTACAAAATACGTGACTAATTTATAGTTTTTTTTCAAGTTTTTAATCGTTTTTTTTTAAGTTGTAGGTTTTATGTTTCTAATTTGTTTTTCTAAATTTTTAGGTTTTTTTTAAGTTAAGCAATGTATGACATTTTTATTTTTAATTAATGAAATATTATTTTTTTTAAAATAAAGATTTTATCCATTAAAAAAAATAATAAAATAGACCCAAGTAATGCAATGTAATGTTTTTTTTTATTTTGAAGTATTGAAATAATTTTTTTTATTAAAAATGAAGTTTTATTTAATTAAATTATTAAAAAAAATGTGACACCACTCATTGGGTGTGGCAAGAAACCACACTTGTGTGGTAAAAAGTAATGTGGCGCACATTTGGCAGTGAAGGGAGTGGAGTTTCGGTGG